CAGAGAAGGAAAACACAAATATCTTCCACTCAAAGTGGTTAAGATTGCTCTCTGTCAGAAGAGAAAACTTGAGAGACTCAGAAAAACAAGGAGGTCTTGTTGAGTTTCGATTTGCACAGGTTTCACTCTGGTAGCATAATGCCTAAGGTACTTGACTGCTAACCAGAGGGCTGGCAGTTCAAACCCACCAGCCGCTCCTCGGAAAGAAGGTTGAGCAATCTACTTCCACAGTGATACCGCCTCAGAAACCCAAAGAGGGGTCGCTATGAGTTGTGTCTGACTCGACGGCACATAACAAAAACAACAAGAATTATTTACTTGGTGGCAAAGCTCCCAGACATCACAAATAAATTAATTTTGCTTTTCCTTCCATTGGAATACAAACCCATGAAGATAGAACTCTAGAAAAATGCCTGGCACACAGCAGAGGTTTAATAAAGTTGCTAAATGAATAAAAATTGTGGGTACTATTACTCTAAACCGAAATCAAACCTGCGCCTACAGACTAAAAATTCTAGCAGTGTTCTTAATTTATCAATCAGAAACAAAGAATAGGAAAAGTTCATAATGTATTGTTTCAAAAGATTTTTAGTTTCAAAAGTTCTCCACAACAATTTGGCAGTTCCAAGATTTTTATAGCAGGAACAAAAGCAGTTATTCTGCACTGTTCACTGCAGCATTATTCACAATAGCCAAAAATCGAAAACAGCCTAAATGTCCACCAACAAACTGTTGTTGTTGTTAGGTGCCATCAAGTCGTCTTCGACTCATAGAGACCCTATGAATGAATCACTGCCAGGTCCCACGCTAGCTCCACGATCCTTGCTATACTTGAGCCCATCGCCACAGCCACTGTGTCAATCCATCTCATTGAGGGTCTTCCCCTCTTTTTGTCGCCCCTCCATCTTACGAAGCATGATATCTTTCTCCAGGGAATAGTCCCTTCTGCTAACACGACCAAAGTAGCTGAGATGAAGTCTGGCCATTCTCGCTTCCAAGGAGCATCCCGGCTGCACTTACCCCAGGACAGATTTGTTAGTTCTCTTAGCAGTCCATGGTACTTCAGCATTCTTCACCAGCACCACTCAAAAACATTAACTCTTCTTTGGTCTTCCTTATTTATTGTCCAGTCCTTACATGCATCTGAGCCGACTGAAAATCCATGGCTTATGTCAGGCACACCTTAGTCCTCAAGGAGATACCTTTGCTCTTCAGCACTTGAAAGAGGTCCTTTGCAGCTGATTTGCCCAGTGCTACATGTTGTCTGATGTCCTGACTGCTGCTTCCACTGGTGTCAATTGTACAACCAAGCAAAGTGAATACTTAGACTGAGATGTAATCTACACTGCAGACTATATTCTTCAATCTTCATCACGAAGTGCTTCCAGCCATCCTCACTTTCAGCAAGCAAAATTGTGTCGTTAGCATATCACAGGCTGTTAATGATTCTTCCTCCAATCCTAAGCAATACTCTTCTTCATATAGTCCAGCTTCTCGGATTATTTGTTCAGCATATAAAATGAATAAGTATCGTGAAAGGATACAAGCCTGATGCACTCCCTCCTTGATTTTAAATCACGCAGTGTCCCCTTGTTCTGTTCGAACAACAGCCCACTGGTCTATGTACAGGTTCCTTATTAGTACAATTAAGTACTAACGAATTCTGGAATTCCCATTCTTCTCAATGTTATCCATAATTTGTTATGATCCACACAATCTAATGCTTTTGCATAGTCAATAAAATACAAGTAAATATTTCTGGTATTCTTTGCTTTAAGCCAAGATCCATCTGACATCAGCAATGATATCCCTTGTCCTAAGCCCTCTTTTGAATCCAGCTTGCATTTCTGGAAGTTCTCTGTCAATACACTGCTGCAACCGTTTTTGAATTCTCTTCAGGAAGATTTTTACTTGCATGCAATATTAGTGATATTGCACAATAATTTTCACATTCTGTGGGATCAGCTTTCTTTAGAATGGGTACAAATATGGATCTCTTCCAGTCAGCTGGCCAGGTAGCTGTCTTCCAAATCTCTTGGCATAGCTGAGTGAGTGCCTCCAGCACAGAATCTGTTTGTTGAATCATCTCAATGAGTATTCCGTCAATTCCTGGAGCCTTGTTCTTCACCAATTCCTTCATGTAGCTTCACCTTCTTCCTTCGGTACCCGTGGTTCTTGATCATATTCCACCTCCTAAAATGGATGAAGATCAACGAGTTCTTTTTGGTACATTGACTCTGTGTATTCCTGCCATCTTCTCTTGATGTTTCCTGCATCATTCAATATTTTGCCCATAGAATCTCTCAATATTGCCACTCGGGGCTTCAATTTTTTCTTTAGTTCTTTCAGTTTTAGAAATGCTGAGCGTGTTCTTCCTTTTTGGTTTTCAGACTCCAGGTCTTTGCACATTTCATTATAGTAATTGGCTTTGTCTGCTCGAGCTGCTCTTTGAAATCTTCTGTTCAGCTCTTTTATCATTTCTTCCATTTTTAGCTACTCTCTGCTCAAGGGCAAGTTTTGGAGATTCTTCTGACATCCATTTTGGTCTTTTTTTTCTTCCTTTCTCAACTTTTTAATGACCTCTTGCTTTCTTCATGGATGATATTCTTGATGTCATCCCACAATTCTTCTGGTTTCTGGTCACTGGTGTTCAAAACATCAAATCTATTCTTTAGATGGTCTCTAAATTCAGGAAGGATATATTCAAGATCATATTTTGGCTCTCATGGACTTGTTTTAACTGTCTTTAACTTCAAGTTAAACTTGCATATGAGCAGTTAATGCTCTGTTGCACAATCAGCTTTTGGCCTGGTTTTGGCTAAAGATATTGAGCTTTTCCATCATGTCTTGCCACAGATGTAGTCAATCTGATTCCTGTGTATTCCATCTGGTGAACTCCACATGTGTAGTCATCACTCATGTTGTTGAAAAGAGGTATTTGCAATGAATAAGTTGTTGGTTTTGCAAAATTCTATCATGCGATCTCCAGCGTTATTTCTATCACCAAGGCCAAATTTTCCAACTACCTGTGATTCTTCTTTGTTTCCAACTTTTGCATTCCAGTCACCAATGATAATTGACACATCTTGATTGTGGTCAATTTCAGACTGCAGAAGTTGACAAAAATCTTCAATTTACTCATCTTTGGCTTTGGTGATTGGTGTGTAAATTTGAACAACAATAGTATTAACTGGTCTTCCTTGTAGGCATGTGGATATTATCCTATCACCGACAGCATTGTACTTCAGGACAGATCTTAAAACATCCTTTGTGATGATGAATGCCACACCATTCCTCTTCAAATTGTCATTCCCAGAATAGCAGATCATATGGTTGTCTGATTCAAAATGGCCAAAACTGGATCATTTCAGCTCACTAATGCCTAGGATATCAATCTTTATGTGTTCCACTTCATTTTTGACAACTTCTAATTTTCCTAGATTCTTACTCTGTGCATTCCATATTCTGATGATTAATGGATGTCTGCAGCTATTTCTCTTCAATTTGAGTCATGCTACGTCAGCAAATGGAGGTCCCAAAAGCTTTACTCTATCCATATCATTAAAGTTGTTCCACTCTGATGAGGTAGCTCTTTCCCAGTTGTATTTTGAGTGCAAAAAACAAATGGACAAATAAAATGCGGTACATACATATAAGGGAATAATAGTCATAAAGAGAAATGAGACCCTGACACACACTGTAACATGAACGAACCTAGAAAATATTATGTTGAGTGCAATAAGTCAGTCACAAAAGGGCAAATACTCCACTTACATAAACTACCTAGAACAGGCCAAGTATACAGAGATCAAAGTTTATAGTAGTTATTAGAGGTAAGAGTGGGGATGGAACAGGAAGCAACTTAGTGCTTAGGGGACACAAAGTTTCTGTTAAGAGATGGAAAAATCTGGAAACATTATGGTGATGGTTGAACATGATAAACATATCTAATGCCACTGAATTGTACATGTGAAGAATGTTGAAATAGCAAGTGTTTTGTTATTTATGTGGTTAAAAAAACCAAACTCATTGCCATCAAGTTGTTTCTAACTCATAGTGACCCCTACTTGGGTTTCTGAGGCAGTATCTCTATGGAAGTAGATTGTCCAATCTTCCTTCCAAGGAGTGGCTGGTGGGATTGAATCACCAGCCTTCTGGTTAGCAGTCAAATGCCTTCAGCGCTATGCCACCAGAGCTCCTTATTTATATGGTTATCATAATTTTTTTTAAAAAAGTTATTGATAGTAAAAGGAAACAGAGGTAATCAATGCAGAAAAATGGCCAACTTTGTAAGTTATTAATAAAATATATCTGAAAAGAAATATAACTACAAAAATATTTTCTTTCCTCTGAGTTATACACACCCGGGCAGGACTGAAAGTGGGGAGGGGAAAGGAATCAGACCTTCCTGATGACATGGCATTTATGATGACCACAGCAGTAGTCTTCCTGAAATGCACCCTGACCAGATTTAACGAGCTCTATAAAATGGTACGGTCTTTCACAACAGAATGTCTCTTTACGAAATATACCCCAAGGAAATAAATAATCCAACAGGGGAAAGAAACTTAAAAATTATGTATATAGCTTAATGGTATTAATAAAAAACTGGAAACATTTCAAATGACCAACAATAAGATGAAGCCATCTATGGAATGTCAACACCCTGGATTGTAAAGTCATTAAAAATAACTATATGGACTCTACTGACACTTTATTGTTGTTAGGTACCATTCGAGGTGGCTCCAACTCATAGCGACCCCATGTACAACAGGGCAAAACACTGCCGAGTCCTGCACCATCCTCACAATCCTTGCTATGCTTGAGCACACCTTTACATATACTAACACACTTTACATATATATAGTACTTTTCTTTAACAGGATTTTTGTTAAAAAGCAGAAAGTAATGAAACCCCAAATCTACTCTGCAAGAGAGAAATTTAGAAGGTCACAAAGTTTGAGGTTTACTGGCACTCAAAATAAATCTATTATCATTACCTGTGTTTGTGAAAGTTGAATGCTCTGCACCTGTGGAAGCAGGAAGAAAGCATTGGGTAGGGGCTTTGCAGATTCTTCAGTAGATATTCTGCGAGTACCAATTCCAGATACCTACAGAAAAAAAAAAAAAAAAAGAAAATTACTCTCTGTTAGAGCTTTAAAACACATTTATGTTGTTGCTGTTGTTGTTGCTGTTGTTGCTGTTGTTGTTGTTAGGTGCCACTGAGTGGTTTCTGACTCATAGCGACCCCATTCACAGCAGAACGAAACACTGCCCGATCCCACGCCAGCTTCACGATCCCTGCTGTATTTGAGCCCATCATCACAGCCACCGTGTCAATCCATCTCATTGAAGGCCTCCCCCTCTTTCGTCGACCCTCCACCCTACCAAGCATGACATCTTTCTCAAAGGAATGGTCCCTTCTGACAACATGACCAAAACACATTTATAGTAATGCTAAAATTAGCTTTCCAAAGGAAATCTGTATTCATTACTTGGTCTTCCAAGATTCTGTTACACCAGCTATTACAATCTGTCTCCAGACAACATAATGAATACAGTTGTATTTCAGCTGAATGTTCCTCATCATAGCAAATTTTTCGACAAACAGAAAGCTCTTTTGATATAGGACCTTCAGTTTAATGGAATCCTGTAAGAATTAACCACAGAAATAACTGATCTTGGCAAATAAATTACCCGATGCAACATCCTATTAAAATGTCACAGGTATCACTTAAGGGAAAGGTTTCCTTTTGCGAACGAAAGATGCTCCACATTCCCTTTCTAGTGCTTTGATAAGCTCCGTGGCAACTGGCTTCTAAGTGCACAATCAATGCTTCCTAATCAGAAATACTCCTGAGCCAAGAAAGGGAGGTAAGCAGAGTCACTAATGGCTTCCCTTGTAGCTCCCTCCCTCTCTGAATTGTATGTGAGTGAAAACCCCAAGTTTTGAAAGTCTGCTACATTTTATACTAGAAAAGTGAGTATGACAGATGTCTTTGTTTTGTTCCAAAGATCCTTCCAAAGATTCATTGTGAGGGTTATAATTGTGCTCTCTGTACTGAAGACAGCAAATCCTAGCATGTTAGGTGGAAGAGGGTGAAAACTGGTAAGCTTAACAGCACTAAGAGTCTTATATTTTACTGACATAAAGCATGCAGCTGACATTTCCCAAAATCTTTTTAAACGTATCCAAACTTCTTTGTTACGTCAACAACCAAATTACATAAAGAAGAAAAAAATTACTTACATGATAAGAAAGAACTCCATATGAGGAGGTATTAATAAATAAAGAACTTTCAATGCTTCCTTCTTCAGTAGGTAAGAAAATAATTCTGAAAGATGTTTTCCCCATTGCTGGAATTACCTAGAAGAAAAGGGAGGGGACCTAATTAGCTACATGGAATGCTACCCCCACTTTTGACAAATTATCTTTCACAAAATTCCTTTTTGGTGATGCTGTTAACAGATTTTTGCATACTCTGTACCCTTGATTTGTAATTATTACGAGTCTCTGTGAATCCCCAAAGTGATTACCATCCAAAAACCTAAGAGAATATTTCAAAGAATCCAACTCAGAATTATAAATGGCAAGATGGCTGCCAAGTCCTTTCACTTCAGATTGGAATGATGTATCTCACATCTTTCCTTTTCCTCCTCTTCCTTATTCATGTGTTCAACAGCCTTTTTCTAACACAGTTGTATCTCTACTTACATACAGAGAACAACCACCATAATAACATGTTAATCGTTAATAAAAATCAGGAACAATGTTTACCTGGACTTACTATCATAACAAAATAATACTGGCCTCCCTTTTGTATCATTTCCTTAATCCCAGTATTAAACACACACACACATGCGTGAGCACACGCGCACACACACACACACACACACACACACCCCTGGTAGTGTAGTGATTAAAGCACTTGACTTCTAACTGAAAGGCAAGCAGTTTGAACCCACCAGATGCTCTGCAGGAGAAAGATGTGGCAGTCTGCTTCCATAAAAATTACAGCCTTGGAAACCCTATGGGGCAGTACTACTCTGATCTAAAGGGTCGCTATAAGTCAGAATTGACTTGACAGCAATGAGTTTCATTTGATAACACACACACATTACAAAATGTCAAGCCAATATAAATAAGCAAAATGAAAAATAAATAAAAGTCTATGAGCAATTAGGATCTTCATTAAAAGTTTAAGACCACTGCATTTAAACTACAAGAAGAACTAGGGCTTTGAGCCCTGTGGAACTAGGGCTTTGAGCCCTGTGTTTTGACACAAATTAGCTTCATGAGAACCCAACTACCACCTTGTGAGCCCTATGTTTAGAAAGGAGAAATCACAAATTCCTTAGTAAGTTGCATGATGATGAGATCACAACTGTAAACTTGTAATAGCTACAAATGCTAATTTCAAGACAAATAATAAAGTTTGTTTATTCATATTAAATATACATATATTATTACCTAGTTTAGACTTTTTTCCCCTTGTACATATGAAGAGTTACCAAAACCAGGAAAATGAACAACTGTAAAAATAAATGCTAAAGCAAACATGTGGAAGGAAAGAGTTTGAGTAGCAGAAAAAGGGGGAAACAAGGGAGCAAAAAGCAAAAATGTCAAGCCAAAAAAAGCAAGAACTCCTGGCAGCCTGCCACAGCATAGTTTCTAAGAGTACATCAACACTCACCCTGCAATGAACAGGAGGCACATGAAAATGTCTAGCAGCTGTAAACACTGAATTCACCACAACCTCACTATCCCTACTAGGGTTGTAAGCATAGAGGATCTTTGCTGCTGGATATCCCAGGAACCTAGGACGGGAAACAAGGAGAAAAGGTGATGTATTATACGGCTATAAATATACCTATACATATATATGTTTTCTTAACCCAGAAAGATGCCGATATTCATTACAAATTTATAAGCAACGATTATCAAATCTTGTTAATAATAAAATATTTAATTCACAAGAATAGAGAAAAATAAAATTAAAAAAAAATCCTATTACAAGCTTTATACCAACCCACAGTAGTACCCCACTGGTTTTTGTGTTGGAAGAATTCAACTCATCTGAGCCATTAAATGCTTACAAAAAACATACTGGGAAATAGGTACTTCACTGATTACTAAGCCACTACACTAACGTCAAGCCTGATTCAATAGTGACTCATAACAACCCTAGAGGACAGAGTCATACTGCCCTCCATAGGGTTTCCAAGGCTGTAAATCTTTACAGAAGCAAATTGCCTCATCTTTCTCCCACAGAGCCACTGATGGGTTCTAACTGCTAACCTTTTGGCTAGCAGTGTGTATTTTAACCACTGTGCCATCAGAGCTGGTTTCAATGTTTAAGGTCTTTAATTCAAATAAAAATGTGTTTTTAGTTAAGAAACTGTACTCACAGAAAAACTCAAATTTCTTCATGTTTGTTTTCAGAGTAATAAATTTAAAGATGCTTTTTTTTTTCCCCCCCTTTTCTCTAGTCTTTGACAATGGGCTCAAACATAGCAATGATTGTGAGGATGGCACAAGACTAGACAGTGTTTTGTTCTGTTGTAATAGGGTCACTATGAGTTGGAACTGACTTGATGCATCTAACAACAACAACCGAACAGTCTTTGAAATAAACTTTCCACTCATAAAGAGACTTCTCTTTGTTCCAGCTTAAAGGAGGAAAACTTCAACTGTTGCTAAAAGCTACTCTTCTGAGAAAAATGAAAATCCTGCAGCAGTCTCTAAAAGTGATTCTTACCCATTTAAATCATGAGTCTTTCAGAAAACTCTGATAGAAGCATAGCTTCTTCCTTCACAAATACGTGCATGCATAAAGTTATACACATAATTCAAAAACTCTCCATGAACCTCAGGGAAAGAGTCCCTGATCTACAGCAAATACATTAACTGATGAAGACTTTAATGTCAATTCTCTGCACATGTATCAGCTCCAGCCAAGCCACTGCAGGAGGAAAGTTGTTTGCCCCTAGTCCACCTACCTAGAACTACCTGCAACGTCCCCTCTACTCATTTATTTCTAGATTCCTACTGCCCAGTGTCAAAGTCTCTCTAGTTGAGTTACACTGTAATAAGTAGAGTCAGCAAAAATTTTACTTAAGTTATTTCTCCAGTTTTAATACCCTCACTGGCAGGGACCCAAATATATAGTATTCATTAATAAGGCCCAGAAATAAAAGTAGATTCTAAATTCAGCATTAAAAAAAAAAAAAAACCAAAACACCTCATCTATTATGCCCCTATTTCCATAATTTTATTCTGATTTCTCTGATTTTAAAAATAAGGTACTTTAGAGATAATGAAATGCATACTCTCATATACAGTAATACAGTATTACTACCATTAAGTCCTCAGAGTTTTTCTTCTAGTTTTTATTCCTACTTTAAATCCTAAGTCTTATCTGAAGGTTTAATATGTCCAATGTGTACTTTCAAAAATTAAGACCATTAAGCCAATGAAAGATAAAATATACATCTGTGTGATTAAAATCTTCATTTTTAAAGTGTTTTTAAATAATAATGTTAGAAATTTTTATGCACTTTTTTGGTTTTTACCGTAAGTATAGAGTCACCCCAGAAATTCTTACTCTAGAGTACTAGACTCACCTTTGCCTTCTTCCCCTCAATTAAGTTAAATAAGAACTTCTCTGGTTTCAGGCTTTAAGTAAATAATACGAATCAGTCAGAAAAGTTATTCATACTTATCCTCCAAGCTTTATATTCCATTCACTTAAGTGGAATACAAGATTCTTGCTCTCAAAGGATACAAACGTCTCCCAGAGAAAACCTATTAGAAAGTCAGGCTGCAAAACTGCTATGCTACCAAACTCAGTCACTCTGCAGTCATCAGAAACCTCAGCAGGCCTAGCAGAGAATGCTGGCTGAAATGTACTTACCACTAGGCTATTTTTATTCTATTTTTTAAATTCTATTTTTAAAAGCGTTATGAGGATATGAATTTCTTTCACTAGTGACAAGTGGAAGACATTTCATTAATTTAATACCATTAAAAGAATGATTAAAATCTCTCATGAATGATAAGCACTTTTTATCTTGGGATCAGTAGGATGTTAACCTCAAAATAAGCCTTATAAAGTAAGCAGAGGACAATGGAGTAACATGATCCGGAGTTTGCATCCTAGAGGGAAATCAAAGCTATGAAAAAGAATGGGGCTTGACCAAGGTCAACATCAAAATAAACATTAATGGCAAAAACATGAATTCAAAGCAGTGAAGAAATCGGGATAATTCTCTGGCTAAAGTCTTAATCTAATATGCCTATAAATTATGCCATTGCTAAGGTAAAACTTGACTATGTTAAAATGTGCTAATTTAGATTATATACAGTTTGTTCTTACTGAGATCTTTTTAAACTTCAAAATAATTTATTCCTATAATCATATCCTGGATCTCATTAAAACAAAATAGCATGCCGAGTGTTGGCTTAGAAAGTAGGAGGTTTATTCTGCCACTTCTAGTGAAATGACCTTGGGCACACCACATTACTTCTCAGCAACAAATGTATGAATATTGTTATTATATACAGATATTTGAAGGTGGTTCATATTCTTTCTGTCTCTCACATAAACACAATACTTGCCTTAACTATCCTTCCAGAATTGATATAAGGCTCAAATGGCAAGAGAAATGACTGCACTCTGAGAACTGTAAAGCATCACATAAATGTAGCTGAATCATCAAAACAAAGTTCAAATCAGACTTTAAACATTCTTTCAACATGTTTCCAGTTTTCAGCATCAATTAACATATGTTGCTAATATATACATATATGTATGCGCATTGATTACAGGATTTTTATGTTATAGAAGAGTACCCTATTTTCTCATATAATGTACCCACACATATACCATGCATAGTGTGCATAGGGAGCTAACATGATGTTTGCAAAAAAAAAAAAAAATCACATAACATACATGTATTCACATAAAAATAAAATAAATACATTACAGACATTCAGGATCCTATGAATCAGAATTGTTGTCCCAATCTAACTATATTTACTACTATCCATCTTGTTATCTACCAATCTATAACTTATAGTCTTTAAAACAGGTCCTGCATTAAAATGTCTTTTTACAATAAAGACATTTCACAAAAGCAAAGTACTCTCATAATCTAAAGTCAATGAAGTTTTATTACAAGAGCAGTGTCTATTAAACTTCTTCACCTAAGAGCAAAAATACAAAAACAAAAGAGCAGCTATAGTCTTGTAAAGTCATCAAACTCACTTCACAATTTTATCTCTTCTTTCTGTTACAAAATCTTCTTAAAAGGCTCAACAAAGTACTCTGAAACTGAATTTTCACTCTCCTTCACTGCAGCTCTAAACCCCTGACCATCAGAAGGAAATGGAAAGAAGGTAACCCAAAAGAATAAAGGCATGCATACCAGGAGACCACCACTAACCCACCCCAGATGTTCTCCTATCACCACGATTTTTTCACTCACATCACTTGTAAATCAAAAAAGCTCTTCGTAAAATTCTTTCCGTTAGCAGCAGAGTCCTTAAGCAGTATGCCACCAGGGCTCCTTTAAAATTATTTGTACAAATAGATAAAAGATTAAAAACTGTAAAGAAAAGATACTTACTGCATTCCAAAATCTAGAACTGAGGGCTGAAAATGCAAGCCTTTTCCGCTAAATAGTTTGTCCGAGAAGCTAAAAAAAAGAAAAGAAAACAAAGACTGAGTTTTGTTGTAGTTTTAAAATTTGGATGTTAAGACAATATATGGCTCTCGATACATGAAATGCAATTTTACTCTTTTATGGAGGAGTATGAACTAGCTTTTAAATGTTAAAAGTGAATTATTAGAAGTCTAATATAATTTTAAAGTTCCAAAATTTTAAGATCCTCTTGGATTATAGTTAACCTAACTTCATACCAAATGTCGATTCTGTAAACATTTCAACAACATTGAGGATAGATTTAATTTTCAATAGATTTCATGTTTGGATGATTTCAGATATGACAATTTTCATGAAATCTAAATCAAGAAAAGACATACAAGTAAGATGGGTTGTTTACTTGGGGGGTGGGTATAAATCTAAATCTGCAAAATTTATAACAGGGGAAGCACTGGGTAACACAGCCAGAGTAGCTCATGAAGACCGAATCCATCAACAACTATGTATTTTTAAGAATAATCATCACATAAAATCTCACACAGCAAAACACAGTTGTTAATCATTTTGATTTCATTTTCCCTCAGAATCAAAAGCTGTAAATCAATATAGCAGAAAAACATACCAAAGAAAACATAAAGAATACACATAAAAGAAAAAAATACTAATAGATATAACAAAATACATAAACACACTTACTTAAAAACAAAAAATACAAGAAGTATACTTATCAGAAGACTACCAAACACTGTGACATTTTAAAAGCTGTTAACTTTTCAAAAACTGTTTAACTGGAAGGAATTTCTAAATTGAACCTTTCCATTTTGTCTAACCACCAAATAACACTCGAGGAAGTGTAGTTCAGTGGAGGGGCCAGAGATATACTTTTGAGTTGCAAACCTACTAGTCAATAAAAACCTTTGTGACCTTCAGCAAGTCCCTTCCAAAGTCCCAATTTTGTTTCTTGAAGGTACAAACAATGTAAAGTCCAAAGGAGTCCTCATTTCACAGGAAAGAATTCCATGTGCAATCTTTTCTTCCTCCCTCTACTTTTCGGCCTCCATCCTCTAATCCTTTTCCTAAAAATCCTTTCTCCACTATCTTTTATTCATATCTCCTTTATTCTTTCTCCAAAATCAGCTTTATTACCAATAAAGATGACACCTCAGTCTCTATCTGCCAATCGATCTAACTTCTGTTAATCTCTCCACTCCTTGAGTATGAGCAGAGATGAAGTCTATTTACTAAACTCCCTCACGCCTCAAAAGGCTAAGACTAATTCGTCTACTTGCTTTTGCAAAAGCCAGTGATATACCCAGATGCCTCCAGAAACGATGTGAAGAGCCAGTGGGGACGACAGATATAAAGAAGATGCCAACAGCAGTCAGATCCACCATGGCTACCCCACTCCAAACTGAGATGGCTGTGCTTAACATGGCAGAATGAAAAGCAAGCAGGCAACTTCACATACAAAGAACTATCTTTTAAAAAGTCAGGCTATTGCAGAAGTAAAATAATTAATGGCATTCTTCTTCCTGAGTGTGCCCTGAAAAGATTTACCATCAGATTTTACACACAACTTTTGAATGATCAGATGAGGCTCCGCATGTTTAAGTAATTGTCCAAGGTCACATAGCCACCAAGTGACAGAGCCAAAATTCCAACACAGATCCGTCAAAGTTAGAAACATGAACATCACATTCAAGCAGGGTACTGAATGCCCTATGCCAGGAACTGGTGCAGTCTAGCCTGTAGGGGAGAGCTTCAGCTTCACTGTCCTGACAGATACCAAGCCCACTTTCAAGTCCTGCAACAACAGGGCACTTAACTTCTGTTAAGAACTGCCCTTAATGTATGCAAAATGAAGATGACAACAGTATCTACCTGGTTAGCTGTCATGAAGATAAAATGAGATAATGCCTTTGCTTCATACCTGCCACATAACTGAAGTGCAATAAATATTAGTTCATGTTACTAAGAGGATGACCCTCCTCTAACAAGAAAAGCAGTGAGATCAGATGGGGAAGCCAAATGAGCTTAGAATCAGATTTAACCTCTAGTTTTAAAATCCCAAATGGGGAAGTCATTATCTCTAAATTGGACATATAAAACAGAAACCAAGATCATCTCACAACAAAGATTTTAAAATCTCACAATTAGGAATTTTCACATACCCCACAAAAATCAAACAAGGCGCAACAGAAAATATATCAAATTCAAAGTATTTTTTTCTAAATAAAAATAAAGAAATCCAATTTGAAAAAGTGGCTGGTACAAGAGAAAAGAAATTTCATGGGAAATGATAAGGCATTGCTCTAGGTCCCAGCTATGACACTGGCTTCCCATATGACAGGAGGAGCTCTAGTGGCATAGTGCCTAAGGCATCCGATTGCTAACCACAAGGCTGGCAGGTCAAACCCACCAGCCACTTCTCAGAAGATTGGGCAATCTACTTCTGTAGTGATACCGCCTGGGAAACCAAGGAGGAGTCACTATGAGTCAGATCCTTGACAGCAGTGAGTTTTCTACTATTAGTATTTTATTATTATTATTATTATTTTAAATATGACATGGTGCTTCAGTTTTCTCTTCTGTAAAATGAGAAAGTTGGACTGGATGCTTCCAATGTCCTTGGAAAAGTATTTGGATGCCTAGATTCCTTATTCCTTTAAAAAAAAAAAATTAAGCTATCTAATGGTATTAGACACACCCTTTAAAAATCAGCCAATAACTACAGAAAATGAATTAGCCATAACAACTATTCTGGCTGTTCATAAATATTATCTGAGCAAAATACATCATTTCAAATCCAATGTCTTCTCTCTACAGAAGGAGCAACATGGTCCAGTAACTTAGGATCCAGTCTCACAGCTCTCAGCAATTTAATATGGGATCTTATCTTAAAGTTCTTAGCAATTTAATAAGTCTTGCTCAGAGGCAGGTGGTCAGGTCAACAAAAATGCTCCCAAGGCTACAATCCAGGTAGCAGGGTGAGGCTCATATGCCAATAAGCAAAGCTCTACAAAAGAAACTCAAAAGTTCAAAGAAAGAAGATCAGAAACGCATCTGGAAAAGTCAAAGGTGGCTTCCAACTATGAAATGTCTTTGAGATGGTTGAGTCTCAAAGAATGGTTAGCATGCAAGGTCATTAAGTGGATAACAAGTTCAAGCAAAGCTAAGAGCAAAGAAGCAGAGCCTTAAAAAACTGAAGGCCACATTTAGAGAACATGGTTTGAACAGAGGAAAAGCACACTAGAAAGTTGGCCTGTTGGCTCTGATCCTTAGAGTGAAGAGCCTAAAGCAAGACAGGTTGAGTGTGAGCACTGAGAAAAGAATGGAGTGAGCAGAAATGAGGGTGGCCCTGAGTCAGCACTGTTGCTAAGGATGAAGGCTTACGAAAATGTAAGAACAATGGAAGGAAGAGAAAGCTAGCAGACACTGGCCACACAACCATGAGATAGGCCTTCTGTACTACACATCTCTGCTGGACCTTACCCAGAAAGGTTGGATTTATTTCTGGAGAACACTGCAATCAGTGTTTCAGAAGATGGCCTGCAGCAGCCTTTCCAAAGAAGTGAAAAATCACTTTGCCTTCTAACAGGGATTAGAAATCAACAGTGACTGCCTAAAGCAGTCCTAGTCGTGCAATGGCTACTAACAGAAAGACTGGCAGTTTGAAGCCCCAACCCAGGTCTGTGGGAAAAAGTTGACAATCTGCATCCATAAGGACATACACTGTTACTGTTGTTAGGTGCCATCGAGTAGGCTCCAACTCATAGCAGCACCCTACATACGAAGAACAAAACATTGCCCAATCCTGCACCATCTTCACAATCCTTGCTATGCTTGAGCCCATCATTGCAACCACTCTGTCACTCCACCTGGTTCAGAGCCCTCCCCTTTTTTGCTGATCCTCTACCAAGAATGGTAGCTTTCTCCAGGGACTGGTGCCTTCTGACAACATGACCAAAGTAGGTGAAATGAAATTTGGCTATTCTCACTTAGAAGTGAGAAGGACAAAGACTTAAATGTGAAACCTAAAACTGTAGAGTTCCTCAAGGAAAATCTAGGGGCAAATTTAAGGGCCCTAATATATGGCATAAATAGACTATCAAGCATAACTCAAAATGCACAAACAGCAGAAGAAAAATCAGATGAGTGGG